AAAGGCGGGGCCGCCCGGGGGACAGGCGAAGCTAGTCCGTGAGGCCCCGAGCCCCGGGTCCGGCCACGAGCGCAGCGTCCCGGGCGCGTGAAGGTGAAAGCGCAGCGCAGGCCCCGCGCGAACTCGCCGCGGTGCCCAAAGTCATAGCAGCGCCGACGCGGTGCGGGGCGCGCGAGGCTCGGCGCGCGCGGCAGACCCTTGGCTGTCCCTGGAGGCAGCGACCTCCCGCCCCTGGGTGTCCCCCTTCACGCGCCCAGCTCCTGCCCACGCGGAATTCGAGGCCTGGACCCCCCGCCCGCACCGGGGTGTTTCTTCCCCAGAGGGTTATTTTTAGCTTCTGGACGCCGCAGTAGCCACGGAGCCCGAAGCGGCCCAGCGCGTGGGCCAGGGGAGGACGGGTGACCGGCGGGGGCTGCGGTGGGGAGGAGGGGGCCGTGTCAGGAACCTCCAAAGTTGGACCCGTTCCCCCAGAGGACACCATCGAGGCTCACCCGGGCCAGAGAAGCTGCTCCTGCAGCGGGCGGTCAAGGCCACCGCCCCTCGCCAACCCGAGAGGGCCAGGGGTGCGCATGGGGGCCGAAGAGCCAAGCCTGGGGGCGCGTCCCTCGTCCCCGCCACTGGCTCAGCCCGAAGATGCAGAAGTGCCAGGGAGTTTTCAATGGAGGCAAACGCCTCGAGTGTTAGTGTGCGTGATAATCACGGGTGCACGTGTCCGCGACCAACTCGAGTTAAATCCCNNNNGGGGGGGGGGATGCGGAGACCCGGAGGAAAAGGTTGCCCAGACCTGACCAGGTAGGGCCAGGTAGGGCGGAGGAGGTCCAGGCCCAGGCTACCCCGAGTTCCCGCGCCCACACCTGCCCCACCCGACCCCACACACCTCTCCTTGTCGCCCCTTAAAGTCGAGAAGGGGCGGGTCTGGTCGGCGCGGGTATCCCGGCGAGCCACGGCGGCCGTGCTTCCCGACACCGGGGGGCGGGCCCGGGGTCCCCAGGGAGGGAAGGCGCGGGTCCCAGGGCCCCGGCTCCGTGCGCGTGGCGGGGGCGCG